GTGGTCACCTCTGACTCCTCGCCCGCCTTTCTCCAGCTCCAGCCTGGGCGCCACCCCGCCTTCCCCTCCCCCTGGCCTGGCCCTCCCCTCTCAGAATTTGGGGGGCAGTGCCCGGGAGGTGGTGGGCCTGGTAGACAGCCACCACAGCCCCTCGCCCCGCCCTGTCTCTGCCCCCTAGGCTGCCTGTATGAGGGGAAGGAGTTGGCCAGCGGGAAGCGCTTCCCGTCGCCCACAGTGCGGTGCCACGACTGCCTCTGCCTGGAGGGCAGCGTCAGCTGCGAGCCCAGGGCCTGTGCCCCTGCCCAGTGCCCTTTCCCTGCCAGGGGTGACTGCTGCCCTGCCTGTGATGGTGAGGGGCAGGGACAGGGGGTGGGCGAGGCGGGAGGGCTCAGAGTCATCCTCACTGCCCTGGAGAGGGCCCCGATTCTTATTACACTAAGAAAGAGAAAGCCCTGGACTAAAGCCTGGGTTTGCTCCTGCCTCTGATGCTGTTTGGCTGTGTGGTCTTGGGCAAGTTACATAACCTCTCTGAGCCTAATTTCTGTCAATGTTTGAAAAAACACATAACATAAAATGTACCATCTTAACCATTTTTAAGAGTGACTCTGGGCCTAATCTTAACTCTTGTAAAAAAAAAAAAAAAAAAAAAAAAGAGAGAGAGTTGAACAAGACCAGTTCCCCAGTCTTTGGTCACTCCTGTTTATTATCTTGGCAATTGTTTCTAATACCCTCTACCACCTGTAACTTTATTTATTTAGTGTTTTTCTTCAAATTGAAATTTTATATTGAAATTTATTTAGAAAGGAACCTTTATATCATACTGTAAATGGAAAACTAGATTTTCAAGGAGTAGAATATTACCATTAAAGTGAATACAATTAAAAATCAAATATTAAATTCAAGTCAGATACTTTTGCCTTCTAAGGCTTTCAGCCTGAGACTCACCCCCTTTTTCTTATTTTTACTGACTTTTTCTTTTAAAGAAAAGTTTTAGGTTCACAGCAAAATTAAGAGGAAGGTGCAGATTCTTCCCATATATCCCCTGTGCCCAACCCCCCCAGGCACAGCCCCCCTCATTATCAGGGCCCCCCACCAGGGCGGTACATTGGTTACAGTGGATGAGTTCACACTGACAGGTCATTATCACCCAAAGTGCCTTCTTTTTCAAAAAGGTCAGAAAGTGTCAGCCGCTCAGGGCAAGCTGCCCCACCCTGGGCCCTGGCCCCTCCTTGATTGATCAGAGGGCTTGAAAGAGCGTTGGAAAGGGGATGCCTTGGGTCCAGGCCACCTAAGTTATCTCAAGCATCTCCCAGCTCTAAGGTCACGTTGGAAAAAATGGTGCCTTCTGGCCGGGCAGTGGCCTGCTGGGTATTCAACCCTAGGGACAGATTCCGTGCGGGTTTTTCCTATAGATCAGACGGACAGGGAGAGTTTTCTGCAGGCTGAACGGGAGAAAGTTTGCCCTTTGGCCAGTCCGACTCTCCCCCCAACTCTCCACTTCTGTGTCCGTCAGCCTGGATGGAGGCCTCCCTCCCCACCGTGGCCACGTCTCTGAGGCCTTGGACTCAGGCCAGGGCAAGCTTACAGTGGTGACTGCTGTCCTCTCACCCCTTCCTGACCCCACCCTGCCTCTCCCTGTCCTCTCTTCAAGGCTGTGAGTATTTTGGGGAGTCCTACCTGAGTGGCCAGGAGTTCCCAGAGCCCCGAGCGCCCTGCAACCTGTGTACCTGCCTGGAAGGCTTTGTGACCTGCGGCCGCAGACCCTGTGAGCCTCTGGGCTGCAGCCACCCGCTCATCCCATCTGGGCACTGCTGCCCCACCTGCCAGGGTAGGTCAACGCCTGCCCTCCCACCGCCCGCCCCTTCTGGACCTCCAGCAGCCCAGAGTCATGAGACAGCCGCCCCGCAGACCCACACCCTGCGTTTCGATCCCACGCCTCCACTGTCTGTGTCCTCTGTCCCTGCTGTCACCTCTCACTGGTGTTGGGCTCACCAAATAACTGGTTCCTGTGCTTCCAGACCTTTCTGCTCTTAAGTTGTCCTGCTGCCTTCCTAAAACAGCACATCACGAGACTCAAAACGATTCCCACTGCCCTGGGTGCCTCGGGAGCCCCACCCATTGCTCACCTTCCTCTGTGAGCCCACCTCCATGCTCCACGGCCTCCCTGCGTGCAAAGCTCACCACTTACAGCCTGGTGAAGCCTCTCCTCACCCACCTTCCCAGACACCCGCTCTCCCTCTCAGACCCCTAAGCTTTGAGAGGTCCCAGGCCGGCTGTGTGTGTGTGTGTGTATGTGTGTGTGAGAGTGTATGTTTGTGAGTGTATGTGAGAGAGTATGTGTGTGTGAAAGTATGAGTGTGAGTGTATGTGTATGTGTGTAAGCGTGTATGTGTGTGAGAGTATATGAGTGTGAGTATGTGTGTAAGTGTATTGTGTGAGTGTATATGTATGAGAGTATGTGTGTGAGTGTGTGTGAGTGTATATGTGAGAGAGTATGTGTGTGTGAAAGTATGAGTGTGAGTGTATAGTATTGTGAGTATATGTGAGTATATGTGAGTGTATATGTGTGAGAGCGTGTGAGTGTGAGTGTGAGTGTGAGTGTGAGGCAGGAGACGGTCCTGTTGACAGCAGCTCTCCCACTGCCTTCCCTGCTCTGCCAGGATGCCTCTATCATGGAGTCACTGCTGCCCTAGGAGAGACCCTCCCTGACCCACTGGACCCCACCTGCTCCCTGTGCACCTGCCAGGTGAGGTGGCCTTGGGGAACCCGGGAACCTTCATCTCTGGCCCTCCTTTCTGGCCGGCTTGTCCCCCCCCCCCCCCCCCCCCCCCCCCCCCCCCCCCCCGCAGTCTCACAGCGCACCTCTGCCTGTGACAAGTGGGACAGGACTGGACTCAGGCTCCTGGCCAAGCCAGGGGGTTTGGGCCTGGCAGGCTCGGTGGGGGTGCCCCATCTTGGGGCAGTGTGAAGCCTGGGTTGAGGGTGTGATGACATGGGGATCAGGAAGTGGCAGTGTGACCTCTCTCCCCAGGAAGGTTCCATGCGCTGCCAGAAGAAGCCATGTCCACCTGCTCTCTGCCCTCACCCCTCCCCAGGCCCCTGCTCCTGCCCTGTGTGCCACAGTGAGCTGCCTTCCCCACACCCAGGCCCCCGGGGCCCCTCCCTGCCCCTCCTCCTCGCCTTTCGCCAGGCCTGAGGTTGGACAGGGCAAGGTGGCACAGCGTCCCACCCAGAAAGCATGTCGCCCACAGGATGCTTCTCTCAGGGCCGGGAGCACCAGGATGGGGAGGAGTTTGAGGGGCCCACGGGCAGCTGCGAGCGGTGTCGCTGTCAGGTACGGCCGGGAGGTGGCAGAGGGGGCTGGGCGCTGGCTGGGCACCCTGCCTCTAGGGCACCCAGCCTAGGGAGCAAGTCACTGACCCAGCATCTTCTGCAGGCCGGCCACGTCAGCTGTGTGCAGCGGCGGTGCCCACCCCTGTCCTGCCCACTCCAGGTCACCGAGCAGGGGAGCTGCTGCCCTCGCTGCAGAGGTGTGCCCGGCCGGTGGGGCTGCCCCTTGCTTCTGCCCCTGGGCCCAATGCGCCTCCATCTGCCCCACCTCCTTTCCCTCAAACTCCCCTCCTGTCTTCCCACCTCCCTGCCCACCCATCTGCCCTCCCACACCTCCATCCTTGAGACTTCACCCCTGTCCTCCTTCAGCTCTTCTGACCTGGCCCTGCCCCTGGCCTGCCCAGACCATCTCCCCTTCCAGAGGCTTAGTAGACCCCCTCAAAGCTGCCCCCTGCCTAACCACACCCCATTCATCATCATGATCACATCATGAGCATATACCAGGAGCTAAGCACTTCAATCCACACAAAGATCTTATCAGGGAGGCACTATTATTATTATTCCTATTTCACAGATGGGAGAACTGAGGTGCAGAGAGGTAATATAACTGGCAGCTGGCAGAGACAACCTTTGCTTCTAGGCTGCCTGAATAGGAGCCTTTCTGACCTGCCTTCTGCCCAGCACGGCTTAGATTCCAGAACCATGACAGCATCTCACTGTGAGGGGGCAGCACAGAGGAAATTCTATTTAACAGCTATGGAGTCTGAGGCTTGGAGAGATTGAGTTACCTTTCATTCATTCTGCATGCATGTATTAGATGCCTGCTGCGTGCCAGGTTCTGGTGCTGATGCTGGCCTACCACAGGCAGTGCCTGCTGCCTGGCCTTTGGTTTAGCAAGCAGGCGTGCCAGGGATTATAGCCCAGGAGTTCTGAGCCCAGCCGTGTCTTCCCTCCACCGCAGACAGCAGTTCTGCCAGGCCACCTCCCACCTCACCCCTGCAGATCCCCTCCCAGGCCAGACCCCAGGCCCTGCTGACCACCCAGGGTGGGCCATCGGGGGCAGACAGAACCCAGACTCAGAGTCACCCCTGCCCACCTGGGACAGGCTGCCTGGCCCACGGGGAGGAGCACCCTGAAGGCAGTAGCTGGGAGCCTCCGGACAGCCCCTGCTCCTCCTGCATGTGTCGCGAGGGTGTTGTCACCTGCGCCCGAGTCCAGTGCATCAGCTCCTGTGCCCATCCCCGCCAGGGGCCCAGTGACTGCTGCCCTCGATGCTCTGGTACTGGGAGCCTGGGGTGGGGTGGGTGGCAGGGAGGTAGTACCTGGTCAGCATCTCCCTGCCTTGGCACTGGGTGGGGCGGCAGAGACAAGCCTTTCCAGAGTGGCTCCCATTTTTGTACACACCCAAATCCTGGGGGTTGGGGTCTCTGGGGGACAGAGAACCCTACCCCTGGCATTGCTGCCAGCCTGAAGGCCCCCTGGTCCTATTCTGCTCTTACCCCACCCCCAAGACTGTGAGCATGAGGGCCGGAAGTATGAGCCAGGGGACAGCTTCCAGCCTGGGGCCGACCCCTGTGAAGTGTGCATCTGCGAGGTAGGTGAGGGCCATGCTGGGGGTGGGGCACCATGCGGGCAGCCTGGACACTGCGGGCAGCAGGCACTATGAGGGTCAGAGACAGGAGAGTGTCCCAGTGGCCAGGAGGTGAGGCAGGGCTTGGGGCGAAGAGCCAGCAGGGCCCAGAAGTCTGGGGTTAGCTGTGGCACCAGTGCTGAGTGGGGGAGGCAGTGGGCAGGCCCCCCTGGCAGGAGTGTAGAGTGGGCGTGAATAGGATGGGCGAGGAGACACCTGGGAAGTGGTTGGGGCCACTGAGAATCTCCATCAATGGGGAGCAGGCAGTGACATCATAGGTCCAGAGATTAGGCAGTGGCGTTGGGAAAAGGGTGGCATGAGAGTGCAGGAGGGTCAAAGGTCACAGATGGTTCAGGCCCAATGACTGGAAAGGGAAAGGGAAATCATCGCTGGGGATTAGGGGTGAGGAGCCAGTCTGGGGGGCTGTTGAGGAGGTGCTGCAGGCACACGGAGGGGTCTGGGGCCCAGCCCTGCTCACTCATTCCTGTTGCAGCTGCAGCCCGAGGGGCCTCCCAGCCTTCGCTGTCACCGACGGCAGTGTCCCAGCCTGGTGGGCTGCCCTGCCAGCCAGCTCCTGCCCCCGGGGCCTCAGCACTGCTGTCCCACCTGTGCCCGTGAGTCACTGATAGAGGGTAGCAGGGCTGCCACCCCCTGACTGACACTGGAAGTGCCAGCCAGCTCTCTGCCACAGTCCCAGCCCCAGACCTTTCCTGAGTCCAGAGGACTGTTCTAGAAGCCCTCGCCCTGCCCTGGCGGGTGAGGCTTGCACCACCCCAAGGGGAACCGGGAAAACTGGCAGGGACCCCTTGACTCATTTTGCCCAGCAGGTGGTGCTGTGGGGTGGCAGTTGTGCCAGCTGCTGGCTTTTGAGGGCAATGATGTCGGGTCAAGAGGGGCAGTGAGTGGCCCAGCTCCAGAGATGGGGAGAGCCATTCTTATCAGCACTTGTGCTTCAGGAAAAGAGAAAAAGACGAACACTTATTAAGCACCCCTGCATGCCATGCGCTGCTTGGTGATTTTAATAAGCAGTATCTTGTTTAATTTTCACAGTTACCCAGTGAGGTAAGTATTATTATTATTCCCTTTTTACAGATGAAGAAACTGAGGTTCTGAGAGGTTGATTGATCTGCCTAAAATGGCACAGGCACTGAGGATTGGAACTGGGGGTTACCTGGCTCTCTGTGCTTTCTTTCTTTCTTTTTTTTTTTTTTTAATATATTTTATTGACCTTTTACAGAGAGGAAGGGAGAGGGACAGAGAGTCAGAAACATCAATGAGAGAGAAACACCAATCAGCCGCCCCCCGCACGCCCCCCACTGGGGACGCGCCCGCAACCAAGGCACATGCCCCCGACCGGAATCGAACCCGTGACCCCCGAGTCCGCAGGCCGACGCTCTATCCACTGAGCCAAACCGGTTCTGGCTCTCTGTGCTTTCTTGTGCCGTTTTAGCCAGGCAATATGAAGGGAGCTGGGCGGGGAGCAGGCAGCGCTGTGTGTGGTCCTGAGGGACCTCAGGCTAAGGAAGCCACACGTGGCCAGTGTCCAGCCCCCTCCCCCCAGTAGCCTAGCAAAGTTCCTCTTGAAAAGTCCAAACTTTTCTCTCCTGAACCAGCGGGAAAGGATTTATCCTTCCTGGAGTCAAGGGCTGGGACATGGGTCTGAGGATAGAGTGGGTGAGTGCGGTCACCTGGGCTTACATCCCTTGCCCCCCTTTTACCCTCAATTGCATTCTTGTCTACACAGAGGCCTTGAGTAACTGCACAGAGGGCCTGCTGGGGTCTGAGCTGGTCCCGCTGGACCCTTGCTACACCTGCCAGTGCCAGGTGAGCCCTCGGCCCTGGGGATTCCCAAAGCTCCAAGAACCGCCTCTGTGGGCTGGGGCCGAATCTCCGGCCGCAGCTCCGGGATTCCCACTCACCCGGCATGCGCCCACCCGTCCTGAATGTCACATTCCGCGAAGAGCCGGCGCCCTCCCACATCCTCTACCCACCGTGTTCTCACGCCCTTTCACAGGACCTCACCTGGCTCTGCGTTCACCAGGCCTGTCCTGAGCTCAGCTGTCTCCCCTCAGAGCGCCATACCCCGCCTGGGGGCTGCTGCCCTGTGTGCCGGGGTAAATGCTGGCTTCGTTCTTTTGTAGAAAGGGAGGGCTTGTCATTGGGGTGGAGGAGAGACCCTGAGGCAGAGGGAGGCAGAGAATGAAGCCTGGATTCTCAAGGCCTGGCCTGAGGCCTGCCAGTGGGCTCAGTACCACAGGCCCCTGGTAGGGTATTGCACTGCCCAGCTGGCAGCCAGGCCCGAGGAGGGCTCCAGCCTACGGCTCTTTCGGCTTCCAGAACCCTCTCCACATCCCCGGTGCAGGGTCTGTCCTCTAGTAGGCCCCCTGCATGTGGTTGAAGAAATCAATACCATCAGGGTGCTAAGTGGGTGGGGGGCACCCCCTGCTGTGGGCCTTCAGGGTGCGCTCCAGGGAGGAGGGATGCAGCTGGAAGGACAGCGCTCCCCCAGCCTCATTTCCCATCAGAATGTGTGGTGGAGGCCGAGGGCCGGAGAGTGGCCGATGGAGAGAGCTGGCGGGACCCCAGCAATGCCTGCATTACTTGTACCTGCCATGTGAGCTGGGGGTGAGGAGTGGGGGTGGAGGGCCTTATAGAAGAGGGGAGCCTCAGGACGCTGGGCCAATGCATATGAGGGGGTGTCTTTGAGGTAATTAGGAAAGGGCGCCCCCCTGGGTGAGAGGGGGCAGAGGCATCCCTGTGCTGGGCACGGAGCTGAGGGCTGGACTTCAGGCCCCACCTGAACAGGAAGTGGTGGTTCTTCTGGAGCAGCTCCAGGGAGAAGGGGCTGCTGCCTCAGAACTGAGCCCCCAGAAGTGTGACCAGGGACCCCAGGTCCTACCGGAAGTCCCTAGAGCAGTGGCCTCTGTCCTCAGCGGGGCCGCGTGGAGTGCCGCCTTGAGGAGTGCCAGGCCCTCTCCTGCCCACACGGCTGGGTGAAGGTTCGAGACACTGGCAGGTGCTGTGAACGATGCCAAGGTGCGGGCCGGGTGATGGAGAGAGCAGCACCGAGACCCAGGGTGAGGCAGGGGCAGCTGACCTTTGCCCTTCCCCTCCCCCCAAGTCCCCTCAGCTCCCGCCCAGTCATGTGAGCACCAGGGCCGAGAGGTGGCCTCCGGGGAAAGCTGGGCCGTGGACCCCTGCACCAGCTGCTCCTGCGTGGCCGGCGCCGTGCGCTGCCAGAGTCAGCGCTGCCCGCCGCTCTCCTGTGGCCCTGTGAGTGCCCGTCTAGGGCGGTGGGGTGAGTGTGCACGTGGCACCGCCACCTGGTGCAACGGGCAGGGAAGGAGGAACCTGGCTGGGGCCCCCGGCCGCGGAGCTGGGGACGAGGGGCGCGGCGGAGGGTCCTGCAGTTCCCGGAGCGACCGCGAGGCGGCGCCCAGAGCCCGCTCGCAGTGCGTCTGGGAGCCCGAGCGCCCGGGTCCTCAGAGGCTCCGCGTGGGGCTCCGCCGGGACCGCGTGTCTGACGCTGTCCCGGGCGGAGGCCAGGACGAGGCTCCCGCCCTGAATCCCGGCAGCTGCTGCCCCCGCTGCCTGCCGCGGCCGGCTTCCTGCATGGCCTTCGGAGACCCCCATTACCGCACCTTCGACGGCCGCCTGCTGCACTTCCAGGGCAGCTGCAGCTACGTGCTGGCCCGGCACTGCCGTGGAGGGGACTTCAGGTGCGCAGCGCCCCCTGCCTGCTCCCTGCCCCGCACCCTCTCCTGCTGACCACCGCGCCCGGCCTCTCGCACCGCAGTGTGCACGTGACCAACACTGACCGGGGCCGGAGCGGTGTGGCCTGGACCCAGGAGGTGGCGGTGCTGCTGGGAGACGTGGCCGTGCGGCTGCTGCAGGGCGGGGCGGTCACGGTGAGGCGAGCAGAGGGCCGGGAAGGGCAGTCCCGCCGCCGTCCAGGCCTCCGTGCCAACGTCGCCCCTCCTCCCGCCCTCCTTCTCCGCTAGGTGGACGGGCGCCCTGTGGCCCTGCCCTTCCTGCAGGAGCCGCTGCTGTACGCGGAGCTGCGGGGCGGCACCGTGATCCTGCACACCCAGCCGGGGCTCCAGGTGCGGCCTGGCCATGGGGGTGTGGGGTGGGGGAAGGAGGGGCCTGGGGCTGCTCAGGCTGCTGTTCTGTGGAGGGCGTGGGGGTTACCAACTACTTCCCGGGCCACACGGAGGTGGGAGAGTCCAGAGGCCTCAGGTGCAATGAAAGTTCTGAGCCTGGTTTCTAATCTTGGCTCAGCCATCAACACACTGGGCCCTGGGCCTGGACCAGTCCTCTGTGGGCCGGTTTCCTCGTTGGTAAAATCGTGGAAGGATTCGCGGGAGGGTCAACTGAGGTCTCCTAGGGCATAGGTGGTTTCAGGAGTCCCTCCAGCTCCCATGCCAAGGAGTGATGCACTCCCCCGCATCCAGCAAGAAGCACACTTTGTAAATTCCTAGAATAGGACTTGGCTACACTTGGGATACAAACTCTAACTGCGTCCTGTCCGCTGTAAGGCCTGAGCACCCAGGAGATAGTCTATCTCTGGAAGTGGGTGCATTTCACCTGGGGGCCCAGTTCAGGGATGCTGACGGCCGGTGCCTTCCTGGGAGCTGTGCTGCCTGTCATAGTCCCGCAGCCTGTCCCCGGGGCCGTCTCCCCCATGGAGAGCCTCCCTCCGACAGCAGGGGGCGCGCTGACACTGTGTGTGCGGCCAGGGCGGATCTTGGGCTTCCTTTTCCCCTCTCTCCAGTCCCAGCCTCTCCACACAGGTGCTGTGGGATGGGCAGTCCCAGGTGGAGGTGAGAGTGCCTGGCTCCTACCGGGGCCAGATTTGTGGGCTCTGTGGGAACTTCAATGGCTTTGCCCAGGATGATCTGCAGGGCCCTCAGGGGCTGCTCCTACCCACTGAGGCTGCCTTTGGGAATAGCTGGCAGGTGAGTGGTACAGGAGCCCGGGGCCTGGGGGGCCGGGGATCGGGCTGGAGACGGCACAGTTGAGCATGAGTCTCAGAGCAGCCCTTTGGTGTGGACATGGGGAGCAGGGTGGATACAAGATGGGCTTTGGGACTTTTAGGCTGGCTTGGGAGCTTCTTGCCTGGCATGGAGCTGGAGGAGGCAGAAAGGCCTGTTGAAAGAGGCCTCATCATCTGACTCCCCAAGCCCTGCGTTGCTACTCACAGGCTGTGTGACCTTGAACAAGTTACTTGCCTGCTCTGGGCCTTGGTTTGTCCCCAAAATGGGGACAAAAGAAAAGTAGCTCATGCTTTCTTTGCTATTCTTTTTTTTCTTTATTGATTAAGGTATTACTAGTACATATGTGTCCTTATCCCCCCCCCCCCCCCTTCATTCTTTGCTATTCTTGTAAGGGGGTTTTTGAAGCTAAAACAAAACATTGGGTGGGAAATGCTTTGAAGAACGGCAGACAAAGGCCAGCTGCCCAAGGATGCGGTCATACCAGGGCCACTTTCCCCACCCAGGTCCCCGAGGGGCCGGGACCTGGTCGGCCCTGTTCCAAGGGCCGGGAGGTGCATCCTTGCCGAGCAGCAGGCTACCGTGCCCGGCGTGAGGCCAACGCCCGGTGCGGGGTGCTGAAGTCCTCCCCATTCAGTCGCTGCCATGCTGTGGTGCCGCCGGAGCCCTTCTTTGCCGCCTGTGTGTATGACCTGTGTGCCTGTGGCCCTGGCTCCTCGGCTGACACCTGCCTCTGCGATGCCCTGGAAGCCTATGCCAGCCACTGTCGCCAGGCAGGGGCGACGCCGGCCTGGCGGGGCCCGACGCTCTGTGGTGAGCCAGCAGTGCCCGAGGTGGCATGGGGAAGGGGGTGGCACAGAGGGCCAGATCTGGGTGGGGGAGGCACAGGGAGGGCTGCAAGGGGTGAGTAGGGTGACTGGAGCCCCGCCGTCCACTCTGCCTGCAGTGGTGGGCTGCCCCCTGGACCGTGGCTTCGTGTTCGATGAGTGTGGCCCGCCCTGTCCCCGCACCTGCTTCAACCAGCACGTCCCCCTGGGGGAGCTGTCTGCCGACTGTGTGAGGCCCTGTGTCCCCGGCTGCCAGTGCCCCGCAGGCCTGGTGGAGCATGAAGCCCACTGTATCCCACCCGAGGCCTGCCCCCCAGTCCTACTCACTGGGGACCAGCCACCCCGAGATCTGCTCAGCCCCAGCCAGGAGTCCCGGGGGACACCTGACCCAGGATGACAGCGACCGGGACTCATCAGACCAGAAGGCTCTCCTTGGAGAGCAGCTCCCACCCTGGCCAGAGCTTCAGCGAGAGTGCCCTGCGCTGGCACTGGGAGCCTAGGCCCATGTCCCACAAAAACCCAGCCGTGTTGAGTCAGAAGCAGTAAACTCGGGGCCTGCCCTAAGGCTGCCTTGTGTGTGTGTGTGTGCGTGTGCTTCCTCCTGGCACTGGGGCATGGGCTGCTTGGGACATGGGGGCCAGAAGTCAGTGTCCCCAGAGTCAGAGCGGTGGCAGCTGTGGGGATTCAGCTCTGGACCTTGCTCACTCCCGTGCCTGCATCCCTGGGCTGCCCCTCGCCTGCAATACCCTGGTGCTGCCCTGCAGTGGGCAGGCGGAGCCAGGACGCCTGGTCCCAGCCTGCGTTTGCAGGTAGCAGGCGTGGCCTGTGGCCCCGATGGGGCACCCTCTGTGGATCATGTGGAATCCTGCAGGGGCTGAAGTGCACAGAGAAGATGCTCAGTCCCCACATGGCATCCTGTTTTCTCTTGGTTTGGGGATACCAAGTGCTCAGGGGCCTCCTGGGCCACTCAGAGCTGGTGATAGAGGGACCCTGTGCCTGGAGTGGGGACCAGGACTGTGATGAAATACAGACACAGATACAAGTGCACAGACCCCCCCCCCCCCAACAAGCGTGTATACCTGTGTGCATCCACAGCCACGCCCACCCTGATGGGCCTGTGGGCCGGGGACACATGTGCAATTTCTGAAGACATCCTTGTAGGGGAAAGAACATGGGCTTTGAAATAGAAAAACTCTATGTCTTTGAAAAGAAAAACATCTTTTAAAAGTGAACTCTATCTTGAATTCTCTTTACCTCCTACTGGCTATACGACCTTGGTGTGTTAGGGACCTTGGCTAAAATAGCAAAGGGGGCCCTGCTCTCATTGCTGGGTCCCTAATATTTCAGCAGGAAAAGGGGAGAGTGTTGGGCTGGATTGAGGTCACCTGTCTGCTTGCTCAGCTGCTTCTGCCAGGCTTCTCTCTGGGCTCCCTGCCCTCGTGGAGTGGTTAGAGCAGCAGCAGAGACAGCGAAGACCACAGCATCTCGTGTCTTCATTCCCTCCCCTAGTTATAGCTTATGCAGGCTGTATCCTCATCTGACGTATTGCAAGGAACAAGCAGAATGAACAGCGCTCTGCATGGGGACAGCTTGGAGCCAGCGCTAGGGAAGCACCCGCCATGGCCTGCCCGTCACGTTGTCCTGCCTGCGCTGGCTCAGAGCCTGTTTATCTCCGCCACCATCTCCAGCTGAGGGAGACAGTGCCACCTGCTGGTTAGGGCAGCTTACTTCTGGGGCCCAGTGTTGTGATCTGTAAAATGGGGGTGAGAATGATAGCACCCACTTCATCAAGTTGCTGCGAGGGGCTCCCTGCCCTCGTGGAGTGGTTAGAGCAGCAGCATCTCGTGTCTTCATTCCCTCCCTTAGTTATAGCTTATGCAGGCTGTGTCCTCATCTGACATATTGCAAGGAACAAGCAGAATGAACAGCGCTCTGCATGGGGACAGCTTGGAGCCAGCGCTAGGGAAGCACCCGCCATGGCCTGCCCGTCACGTTGTCCTGCCTGCGCTGGCTCAGAGCCTGTTTATCTCCGCCACCATCTCCAGCTGAGGGAGACAGTGCCACCTGCTGGTTAGGGCAGCTTACTTCTGGGGCCCAGTGTTGTGATCTGTAAAATGGGGGTGAGAATGATAGCACCCTGCGAGGAAGGGTCACAAGTGTGGAGCAGTTGTGTCCTGGCTGTGGGTAGCTGCTGCCCATGTTGAGCATGTGAGGCGCCTATGTAATGCAGCTTCGTATGTACATGTAAGTATGTGGATGTAAAACAGGTACTCATTTGGGATGCGAACAAGCACATGCACACACCTGTCTCTGGAAGGGTCACACTCCTGACCCTACACCGCCACCTCCGTGACCCAGAAACCTTTCTCGGAGTCAGAGCTCCAGGAGACTTGGTGGGCCCCGGCCGCGGCTCAGACATCAGGGTCCTGCATTATTGTGCTCAGGGGCTTTGTCTCTGGCTCCTGTGAGCAAATCCTGTGTGTCCATCTCCAGTCCCTAGTGGCACTGGGAAAAGGGGAGGGGACATCTGCCCCGACCCCTACTCCATGGCGCAGGCAGCTACACCTGGGGCCTAAGGCTCCCTTGCAGCCCCAAGCAGGTCTTGGCTCTGTACCAGCACCTGTTCCGATGCCCTGCAGGCCTGGGCCAGCTCTGGGCTGCACTTCGGCAGGTGAGGGAGGCAGGGCACTGCCTCTGAGGGGACCGGGCCTCGGTGGGGCCTGACCCAACCTTACCTCCCCAGGTGCATGGAGCCGGCGGGCCCAGGAGCAGGGAGGGGCTGCCTGGGGGTGTGGCAGAGGCAGGATGGGTACCCTCTCACATTCTGGCACCCCATCTTTTTGCAGCTCCTGTGGGACTTGGAGCTGCTGACTGGGGCGGGGCTGGGCCTCTTCTGGCCTCCGCAGGCCCAGTTCTGTGGTCTGAGGGACCAGGCCCAGTGTGCGCGGAGCCAGTGCAGCGAGGCCCGTGGTAGGGTGGGTGGGGACTCGGAGCAGCTGATGAGTCGGGTGAGCGGGGCTTGGCTGAGGCAGGGGGGTCACTGTGACATTGGGGCAGTCATAGTGGTGAGGAGAGTGGGAGGAGCGTGGGCTTTGGAGACAGATGGATCCGGTTCAGATCTCTGTTCCGACAAGGTGTGGGCTGTGGCCTCTATTCCTTCAGCCACACGACGAGGAAGAGAACATCCTTCTCAGAGGGCTGCTGGGAGCACCGGAAGCTCATCCATGAGGAGGGTGTAGCGCTGTGCCCGCAGCACGGGGCCTGTCGTTCTGTGCCGGCTGCTACCATCCCACAGCCAGCACCCATCTTGGTCAGTCCACTGCGTGGTGATGCCCAGAAGCCGTAGACATGGCTGCAGCGTGGGAGGAGAGCAGGCTGGCAGGCCCTGAGCGGCACACTGAGCACCCACCGCAGCCCTCCCTCCAGGAAGAGGGTGCTGTGGTGACTGGGAGCGACGGCTGTCTCCGGTCCAGCTCAGCCACCAACTGCCGAGGCCCTTCGGGCAGGTTGGCAGCCGGCTCTGGGCCGAGGCCTCCCAGGAGAGAGCAGGAGGGTGTGTCCAATGACCTGTCCAGACAACCTGCCGGCCACGACTGCAGGCTCATCTGAGGGCTCCCCTGGGCAGGAGGGACCCCTTTCCAAGCTCCTGCACCTGGAGGGGCAGGGGAGGGCATCATCCAAGGGCATGGATGCCAGGAGGGGGCATCTCAGGGGCGTTTTAGAGGCTGCCTACCATCTGGTGTCCTGGGGACTAGGCCACCCCCTAATCCTTCCAGCGTTCCAGGCTGTGCTCCTCACACCAGGCTGGGGACACCCTGAGCCAGAACCACCAGTTCCTGGAGGGGTGAGTCTTTCTCCCAGGGAATCTGTGCACTGGGTGTTGCCACATAAAGAGACCGAACACTGGCCCTTTCCCTGGTCTCCTTCCACAGCCCCGCCCAGCACCCCTCCTCACACACATGGTCCTCCTGGGGCTCTCGCTCAGTTGCACCCACATGGTTGCCCACAGCCCCTGGGAAGGGTAACCCCCAGGTCCAGCTCCCAGGATCCAGTGGTGGGTACAGGGGCTGGGGCAAGTCGCCCCGTATGGTGTTTGAATGTTAGGTGGGAAGGCTCAGCAGCTGCTGGGGGTGGGGAGACTGGCAGACAGGCTGCCCCTCCCCTTCCAGAGCCCAGATGCAAGAGGTGCAGCTGAGGCAGCTTTTGCACACCTGCAGGGGGCTGGCTGCAGACCCATCATCAGCCCCAGATCTGGGGGAAGTCGGGAGTGCCGCAGACCCACGTGGGAGAGCCCTGGCGTGCCTGCAGAGCCCACACCTGGGATGTTGACAGGAGGGGTCGGCATCCAGGCAGCAGGGCCCTCGGCTGGGGTGGCCGGACTACACTGGGGGAGGCAGTCCACTCCTCACTCATTCCTCATCTCATAGCTCTTAGTTGGGTGTCGGGGCACCCAAGAACGGCAAGTAGGTTTTATTTTATGTGCCAATTCCCCTTGATTTGTAGCAGCTGTCTCAGGCACTGTGTCCAGGGGGATTCTGAAACTAATTTGGAGCTCAGGGGAGAGAGGTGGCAATGTCTGTCCATGGCTGCTCGGGGAGGAGGGAATGGAATAGCCTGTGGGCCACCCTACGCCAGACACTGGGGATATGCCAAGTACATGAAAGTCTTGCCCCATCACTTGGTCCCTTGTCTCTGAGGAGAGCACAGCCTAGTGAGAGAGTGTGACCATGAACAGGGGATTAGAATCAGTGAGATAGATGCTGTGAGCCCTGGACCTGTTAGTTTAAACAAGACACTCTCAAAGGATTTGTTAAATACTAAGCCCAGCAAAGCCATAAGCATTTTAAATTTGCTTTTATTGATTTTAGAAAGAGGGAGAGGGAGAAGGAGAGGAAGAGGGAGAGAGAGACAGAGAGAGAAAGAAACATTGATCAGCTGCCTCCTGCACACCCCCTACTGTGGATCGAGCCCGCAACCTGGGCATGTGCCCTGACTGGGATTCGAACTAGTGACCTTTTGGTACATGGGACCATGATCAAGAGGCCAGGGCAGCTTTTAATTGTTCTTTTGTACGTGTGAGAGGAAGAAAGTGCCAATGACTATTGTCTAATTGATAGAGAAATTTTTACAATTATATTCAGAGGAAGGGGCTGGAGGCTATTTTCACAGTTTATGCAATAATTTCTGAAGGCGTGGGAGTCTTATCAGACCCCTGTGCTCAGAAACTCTTCAAAAGACAGATTTATTTTCACAGAGAACCTTCTATTTCGGTTAGTTATGAATATCTCCACATCCATATTGCATAAAGATGGGATGTTCTTGAGAAGGGTCCCACTTTAAGACCTTATGAAATCAAGTTTTTTAAAACTAGTTTTAAGGATACTGAGCGACTTGCCTCCCTCCACAGCTGCAAGGGAGCAGCGACCTCTCATCTCCCTTTTTAGATTCCTTTTGTTGATTATGCAGACTTGCAGTTTTGAGGCTCGGCTCTGGCCTAAGATTTCAATTCTTGAATTTTGTCTGATTTTGCTGTCAGAAACCAAGAAAGAGCTTAAAAGGGTACA